GGTGGGCATCTGCTGTGCCCACAGGTGCAGGCTGGAGACCATGTCTTTACCTGGCCAGGAGTGAACGCCCATCTGGCACACCGCTGCCTATCTGCTCTTTCTGTTTGGACTTGGGGGGTTAGTTTGATAGAAAGACCTGAGGTGGACTATCACCTGGTCATATGGCTATTCCTTGAGCAGACTCCAGCAATGCCCCCCCCTCATCCCTCAGCAGCCCCAACTCTCACTGCTGACCCTGTGGGCTGACAATGTCCTCATCTGAGGCTGGGACAGATGGCTTGTCCCATCCTCTCTTGCCCCACAGGCCACTCCTGTGGGCAGTTGAGACCAGTGGCTACCTGGCCCCAGAGGCACCCTGGACAAAGTGTATGAGTTCTCTGGGGTTTGTCTGGAGGCTGAGGCTGCATGTCCCAGCCCCCTCTCATCGCCCTGGCTCAGTCTACCTAACATTGACCCTTGAGCATGCCTCCACCTCGACTCCTGGCTCAAGGGTGGTGAGGTCACCTAAGCTGTCACTTGCCTGCTGGGGATGGTTTCTTAGATTCCTCTCAGAAAGCTGCACTGCTGGCAGGGCACATTCGGGCAGGATGTGGTGTCCCGTACCCCTAGTCTGAGGGAGTGGCTATCCAGGAAGCAGGTGTGGACCAGCTGGGGTTCTGTGTTGTCCAGCTGTGCTCTCATGAGAGGGACTCTCTGGGCACATGGGTACTGCTGACAAGTTCACTGGCTAGGGAGTGGCCCCATCTTCCTGTGCTGGCACTGGGCCACCTTGTCCTGATGCTGTTCTCTATGTCCTTCTGTACCCCTGCCCCAGACCCCCTGCCATGCTGGAGTTGCAGACCCGTCGGGGGCGGGGGGTTCTGATGCAGCCCTGGATGTGTCCAGCTGCCACTCCAAGTACATCCAGACAGTGGGCTCTTGTGTTCACTTGGTGGGAGTAGGGGGAGGAGAGGGCCAGACAGACAGCTTCTCAGCAAACTGCCATCAGTGCCACAGTGTGACTGAGGTCTCTGCTCTGCATCCCTGCACCTAGTCTGGGGGCCAGGACAGCGGCAAGGCTGGGGGCCAGGACAGCGGCTGGCCTGGGGGCCAGGACAGCGACCAGCCTGGGAGCCAGGATAGTGGTTGGTGAGTCTCCTTCTCCTCACCCTGCACCTGGCCTGGGGGCCAGGAAAACCAGCTAGTGATCCCCTTCTCTGTACCCCATGTTCAGAACACCCTAATATGAGCCACTCACTAGCTCACTGCACCCCATCTGAGAAACAGGACACCTCAGTGTGCGTCCCTTCCTGCCCCCCTGCACCCAGGTCTTGCAGTAAATCCAAAAAGCCTGTCAGGTCCAAACAGCAGAGACAGGAAGATGATGGGGTCACTGGGGCTGGTTGAATGTGGGAGAAGTGGACCAGGAAGGAACTCAGGACAGCCTCAGTTGCGGAGCCAGAGTAGGGGCCAGGATATGGCCCTGGGGAGGGCACATCTGCTCTCTGGGTCTCAGCTTCCCCTGCGGGTCATGTTTCTGAGAACATTTATACTTGGGAAGCTGCCCCGCCTGACAGGGTGAATGATATTTGACTACAAACGCCCAGCTCAGTTTGCAAAGACATAGTTCTGTTTAAAAAGAGCTGCAATCTGCTGACTGGACACTGGGTAGGGACAACACTGTTCTCACGGCTGCAGGGAGACAGCAGAGCTGGGCAAGAGTGCTGGGACTCCAGAACTCTGGAAAGCCATGGAACTGCAGCCCTGTTTCCCTGTGGCCTCAGTCCTCTTCTTGCGCATGGGGACTGACCAGCTGGCCTGTCTCTGACCCTGGATGGCCTGGCCCTGCCTGTGTCTGCATGGGCATTGTCTCCTGGTGAGGCAGGTGGCCTAGCTCTGAGGAAGCCAAGTGCAGAGAATGCCCTGCTTGTGCCCACCAGCCCTAAGGTCATGTGGTGCTGGCACCTGCTTCCAGCTTGGGCACAATTACCCTTTGAATGCAGAATACAGGGTTCCTGGGAGACAGGAAGTGGTAGAGGTGGTGGGCCGGAGCCTGGGCCAGGGAGACTGCTGTGATATGCCTGCTGACCACACGTTCTGAGAACAAGTTGTCCTGCATGGAGTGTGGACGGAGGGGAGGTCCTGCCTGGCATGGGGCCTCTGGAGCAGGTCTCCCTCTTGGCATGGTGACCTGTGAGGCTGTTATGTGTGCACTTACTCCCTGCCTCGTACGTCTGCAGCTCCTGCGTCTCTCCTCGGTAATGGTGGTGTGGCCAGTGGTCAGCTGGTCTTGGAGGGTGTAGATGTTCTTCCCATCACTGTGCACAGGCACCTGTGGGGTCATGCTTATGCCACACCTGCTCTGACGGAGAGGGGTGGGCAAGGACCCCAAATCACAGCCTCTTCTTAGCTCTCACTCTTGGCTGGGGCTGCCCACACTGCCCCTGCTCTCAGGAACACTGGAAACAACTTGGGGTGCCTTGCAGGATAGGGGGGCTACTCATTCACCTATGGGACTTGCCTGGGACCCCGCTGCTCCAGGGCCTAAGCCCAGGCTTAGGGCTTTGGCCTTATGGGGTGTACTTCCTGCAGCCACCTCTCTACTCCTCTGATGAGGTGCCTGTGTGAACTCCAGGACCACCTCTGGGAGGGGCTCACTGGAGCTACTGCTTGGCTTCAGAAGGCAATGAAGTCCACCCCTTCTGTCTGCTCCCAACAGACCTCCTGACAACCTCTCAGCTCATCCTTGTAGCCTGATGTACCTTACTTTAGTGATCCATGGTGCTTGTGTGTGCATGTGCGCCCCATGCATGTGTATCCATGGCTTCATGGGAGTGTGTGCACAGGTGCCCACGTTTGAACATTTTGATATGCCTGTACCTTTACGTGGATGTGTGCACATGTGTATACTCACACGAGCTTCTATATACATATCCTCACATGTACATGTGCATGGATGTTTATGTGCATGTGTGTTTTCATAGCAAAGTGTGCATGTACTTGTACGTGTGCCTTTGCTTTTTGTATGCACATGTATCTCTGTGCATGTACACATATCCACACATGTGAACATGTATATACACATGCACACATGTATATATGCCTTTCCATGTATGTATCACTATGTATGTGTATATATTTCCATGCCAAAGAAAAATGACCCTTCAGAGTGCAGAAATTATCAAACAATATCATTCATATCACATGCAAGCAAGATTCTGCTGAAAATTATCCAAAACTGACTGGAACAGCACATCAACAGAGAACTGCCAGATGTGCAGGCTAGGTTTAGAAGAGGCTGTGGTCCTAGGGATATTATAGCTAATGTTAGATGGATTTTGGCTGAAAGCAGGGAGTACCAGAGGAATGTCTATCTGTGTTTCATTGACTAGGCAAAGGCATCTGACTGTGTGGATAACAGCCAGCTATGGCTGACTCTGAGAAGAATGGGAATCCCGGAACACTTGATTGTGCTTATGGGAAACCTGTACTTGGACCAGGAGGCAGTCATCAGAACAGAGCAAAGAGACACTGCATGGTTCAAAATCGGGAAGTGAATGCCAGGGATGTGTCCTATCTCCATACTTTTAGAACCTATATGCAGAACACATTATCTGGGAGGTGGAATGTGGCATCAGGATTGAAGGAAGACTCATCAACAACCTGTATTATGCAGATGATGCAACACTGCTTGCTGAAACTGAGGAGGACCTGCAGTTTTGCTGTATAAGATCAAGGACTGCAGCCTTCAATATGAATTGAAGTTCAACAACAAGAAAACAAAGATTCTCACCGCTGGCTGGATTGGCAGCACCATGATAGACCATGAAGAGATTGAGATTGTTAACAGCTTTAGTTCACTTGACTCTGTTACAATCAACACTCTTGGTACCAGCAGCCAGGAAATCAAAAGATGAATTGCATTGAGAAAGTCGCTGTCAGGGACCTCTCCAGAGTACTGAAGAGGAATAATGTCAGTCTGGAGACCAAGGTGTGCCTGATCCAAGCCATGGTCTTTGCAATTACTTTCTGTGAGTCAGAAAGCTGGACAATGACTAGGGGTGATAGAAAGATAACTTATGCCTTTGAGCTGTGGTGCAGGAGAAGAGTATTGAATATACCATGGACTGCCAGAGACCAAACAGATTCATCCTGGAGAGGGTGAAACTAGGCTGCTCCTTGGAGGCAAGGATTCTGAAGCTCCGTCTGATATACTTTGGGTATTTTGCAAGAAGGGACCAGTGTTTAGAGAGACATCATGCTTGGAAGGGTGGAGGGACAGTGCGAGAAATGACTAGGTTAATGAGGGTATGTGTGTCAGAGACAATAAGGTTGGCACAGGATAGAGCAGGTTTCAGGCCTATTGTACACAGCATTGCTGTGAATCACAAGTAACTTGACAGCATGTAACAACAAACAATGACATGCATTTATTAATATGCATTTGCACCACATATGCATAGTGTGTTTATAGGTATGTGCCCATATCTTCATATATGTACATGCATATGTACCGATGTTTTTGTATCTCTGGGTGTGTGCACGTGTGTGTAATGCATATATTAGCACTTATGTATGTACGTGTGGGCAAAGTGTATGTATGTACTTTTCTGCACGTGTGCATGTGTCTGTGCTCATTTCTGCATCAGTGTATGCACATGTGTGTTTCTCTGTGTGTTTCTCCTGTATGTGTCTCTGCTTTCAAATGTCTCTTTCCGTGTGTGTTTCTCTGTGTAAGTCTTGCACACATTGTTTGCCTCTGTGGTTCCTGTGCTGGTGGTGGGGTCACTATGTGCGGAACACCAAAATTCTCCTTGTGAGGAGCTCTGGGCTCTGATATCCCCTTGGTTACTGCCTGCTGTGACGTCTCCCCTGGCCCGTGGCTCCAGCATGCATGGTCTGAATTGTGATAAGGGGCTGAGCTCATAGACACTGGATGGAAGGGTTGTTTCAAGGCTGAGGGAGGACCTCTGGGTAGGCATGGGGACTGGGCCCTCTACAGACTCCGCCATCCTGCAGAGATGGGGGCTCCACGTGTTCCTGCACGCACAGTGCTCTTCGAGAGGGAGAGGACCGGCCTAACTTACCGTGTGCCTGCACTGCTCCCAGTGCCACCAGGGCCCACCCTACTGGCCTTTGCTGAGCAGCGGCTCAGCCCTGATGACTCCCATGCCCACCGCCTGGTACTGCGGAGGGGGACACTGACTGGGAGCTCCGTGCAGGTGAGGGGGTGCTAGGGGGCTCTGTACAGGTGTGAGGTGCCAGGGGGCTCCATGCAGGTGGGGGTATTGGGGGACTCCGTGTGGGTGAGGGGTTGCTGGGTGGCTCCATGTAGGTGAGGGGGTGCTGGGGAGACTCTGTTCAGGTGAGGGGTACCAGAGTGCTTTGTGGAGGTGAGGGGGTGCTGGGGGGGCTCCATGCAAGTAAGGGTGCCAGGAGGCTCTGTGCAGGTGAGGGGTGATGGATGAGGGCTTTGGGCAGTTGTGGGGGTGCTGAGGTTTCATCAGGAAATGAGGTGCTGGGAGCTCCATACATGACAGGGTTTGCTCGGGGGCTCGGTGAAGATGAGGGAGTTGAAGGGCTTTGAACAGGTGAGGGTTGCTTCTTGTAGGTAAAGGGTCACAAGAGGTCTCCATGCAGGTGAGGAGGACGCTGAGAGGTCCTGTGAAATGAGAGGGCTTGAGGGAACTCTGCAGGTGAGAGGGACCCCTTGTCTACTGAGTCTATGAAGTGAGTGGGCTGTGGGGAGTTCTATGCAAGTGAGGGGAGCTTTGTGTAGGTGAGAGGCTCCCTATGAAGGTGAGGGAAGGGTGGAGAGGGGACACCTTGGGGTGCCATGGGGATCTGTCTGGTGGCTCCCAGTATGTTGGGTGGAGGCTGCTAGGCTGGCAGGCCCTGATGGGAACTGGCCCTCTCCCCAGTGGGGCGGCCTTCGTGTGCTGGGGACTGCGGCCCTGGAGGAACACCGCTCCATGAACCCCTGCCCGGTGTTCGAGGCGCGCACAGGGACCGTCTTCCTCTTCTTCATCGCGGTGCTTGGCCACACGCCTGAGGCTGTTCAGATTGCCACTGGCCGCAACGCTGCCCGTCTGTGCTGCGTGACCAGCCAAGACGCAGGTCTCACATGGGGCGGCGCCCGGGACCTGACAGTGGAAGCAGTGGGCAGCTCTGAGCACGGTAGGCGGGGCAGGTGGGGGCAGTGAGCTTGGGCAGGGGCACCGGGCAGTGGGCTGGGTGGGGGCTGAGAGCTACGGGAGGGGCCGGTCATTGGGTGGGGTTGGGGGGAGGTGGAGCAGGGAGCAGGGGAGGGTGCAGGCCGTGGGCACCGCTGCCGAGATCCCACTCACTCGTCACCTCTGTTAGAGTGGCCTCAGCGGACCCCCTCTGTCCCGCAGACTGGGCCACATTCGCAGTGGGCCCAGGGCACGGAGTGCAGCTGCCCTCAGGCCGCCTGCTGGTGCCGGCCTACACCTACCGCGTGGACCGCCGGGAATGCTTCGGCCGCATTTGCAGGACGTCACCTCACGCCTTCGCCTTCTACAGCGACGACCTCGGCCGGACATGGCACCACGGGAGCCTCGTGCCCAACCTGCGCTCGGGCGAGTGCCAGCTGGCGGTCGTGGAGGGTGCCCCGGGAGGCCCGGTGCTCTACTGCAATGCCCGGAGCCCGCTGGGCAGCCGCGTGCAGGCGCTCAGCGCAGACGAGGGCTCCTCCTTCCAGCGCGCGCAGCTGGTGCCTCCGCTGCCCGAGACAGCCCGCGGCTGCCAGGGTAGCGTGGTGGGCTTCCCGGCCCCGCGCCCCAGCTGGCTGTGGCCCGGGCCGTGGCCAGTGGGTGCCGGGAGCCACCTCCATCTTCCACGTTTGGGGCCGGGCGTCCAGGGGTACCCCGAAAAGGGTAGCGAGGGCCGCTGTGGAGACAGCCCGCGAGAGCGCCGCCATGGGCCAGGATGCGGTAGGGACAGGGGAGACCCCGCACCCCTGAGCCCCAGCCCCACCCCCACGTGGCTGCTGTATTCCCACCCGACGGGGCGCAGGGCTCGACTCCACATGGGCGTCCGCCTGAGCAGGGCCCCGTTGGACCCACACAGCTGGACGGAGCCCTGGGTCATCTATGACGGGCCCAGTGGCTACTCCGACTTGGCGGCTCTGGCGGGCCCAGGAGTGGGTGGTCAGTCCTTTGCCTGTCTCTACGAGAGCGGGGTGCGCGTGTCCTATGAAGAGATCGCCTTCAGCTTCTTCTCCCTGCGGGACGTCCTGGACCACGTGTCCCCGGGGAAGCGGCCTGCGCGCTGCCTGCCCTCCTGACAGGCAGGCTTGCTCTGTGCCCCTTAGTGGTCATCGGGGTTTTTTTTAAGGACTCCCCCGGGGCAGAGGGAAGGCTGAGGGCTCTCAATTTCCGACCACTCAGCAAGTCTCCCAGGAAGGGCAGCAAGCTTGGGGGCAGACTCTTCTCTCAGATGTCCGGTTCTGCACCGACCTGGGAGGACCGCCCAGGCTGACCACTAACTAGGGCTGGAAGCTGAGTTCCAGAAGCTGCCTCCAGCTCCCTCATTCAAGGCGTTTTAACCCTTGCTCTGCTGGCTCTTTCCTGCACAAGGGTTGTGCCTCCTTATCTCTGCAGTTCTTACCACATTAAACCGCTCTCCTGGACCTCCCTCTTGACCTCAGGACTGGCCTGACCCCTCCTAGCCAGAATGCATCTCCAGTGGTCAGGGCAGACAGAGGAGGACAGGCAGAGGGAGCACACATCTCACCCAAGTGATCTTCTGTGTGTCTAGGGTTTGCAGTGGGCAGGACCCCCGCATCAGGGTTTCCTGTTCAACCTCATCTTACTGAGGAACTCTCAAATAGCTTCTGCTCCAACATACAGCTGCATGTACTGGACTCTGGTTCCTGGAGGAGAGATTCTTGGATGTGGATGAATGAACAAAGGGCTTCTAATTTTAATTTTATTATTTTTCTGTTTTTTTTAAAGGTGGAATTTGAGTTAAACTTTAAAGCAAGCTGGTTTTCTGTTTTACTCCGGGTGCATGTTTTTCCCCTCCCGTTGATTACACACCCACAGTGTAACCCTGCTCTTGCACTTGCTTTCTTTCGTTCTCAGTTATGTTAGTCCCTCTGCCCTGCCCTGTCCTGCCTCTGGCCTTTACCTGTGAGCAGATGCTCTGTTAATCTTATTCGATTGGTTGACCTAAGCAGTGACTATCTCCCTGGTGGTATTGGTCACCGTGTTGCTGTTGTTAGCTGCCTTGATTTGGTATGACTCATAACACTCTGTATTTGTTTCCATTTCCAAGAAAGGTGATCCAACAGAATGTGGAAATTACCAAACAATATTAATATCATATGCAAACAAACTACTGCTGAAGATCATGGAAAAATAAAACCCCAAAATAAAAACAAGAACAAGCAGCTAGAACAACAGTAGATAGAGAACTACTGGAAGTTTAGGCTGGATTTAGAAGAAACTGTGGCACTAGGGATATCATTGCTGATGGATCCTGGCTGAAGTCAAAGACTACCAGAAGATTGTCTGTTTGTGCCTTATTGACTATACAAAGGTATTTGACTGTGTAGATGCTAACAAATTATTTCTAATGTGCAGAAAAATGGGAGTTCCAGAACATTTAATTTTGCTTACGTGAAACCTGTACCTAGACAAGAGGCTATAGTGTGAACAGAGCAAGGGAACACTACATAGTTTAAAATTAAGAAAGGTGTGCATCAGGGTTGTATCCTTCTCCATACTTACTCAATCTGGATGCTGAACAAATAATTTGAGAAGCTGGACTCTGAAGAGGAATGTGGCATCAAGATCAGAGGAACATACATCAGTAACCTGCATTTTGCAGATAACACAATCTTGCTTGTTGAAAGTGAGGAGGACTTGCTGCAGAAGATAAAAAAAATACAGCCTTTGATATGGATTGCATCTCAGTGTCAAGAAAACAAAAATTATCACTATTGTACCTTTGTTGTTGTTATTGTTGATTGCCTTCAAGTCGAGCACAACTCATAGCGACCCTATGAACAAAAGGCCTGAAGTTCCTCTACAACTATCATCATTTATCAATGTTCATAGAGTTTCCAGAGGCATGTTATTCAGGCAGTGGATGCCATTCCTGCTTCCAAACCTGTCATAGTATGTTATTATTTTTATGTGTCATTGAGTCACTTGCGATGTATAACCACCCTGTGTACAGCAGCTCTGAACCCTTCCCTGTCCTGAGCCAGTCTCACTAACTGCAACACACCAACCCCCATCTCCCCAGATACTGTATCAATTAATCTCATCTGGTGTCTCCCTCTCCTGTCCACCCTTCCAAGCATGTTGTCCTTCTCCAAAGACAGATTTCTCCTCGCCACATGCCCAAGGTAAGTGAGGCAGAGCTTCAAAACCCTAGCCTCCAAGGAGAGATCTGGTTTCACCCTCTCCAAGACCAACTCTATTTGTTTTCTTGGCAGTCCATGGTATTTTCAAGACTTCTCCAGCACCACAACTCGAAGACATCTATTCTTCTTCTGTCATCCTTCGTCATTGTCCAACACTCTGAAACATAGCAAGCAATTGAGAAGACCATAGCCTGGATTAGGTGCACCTTTGTATCTAGACTGACATCGTTGCTCTTCAGCACTCTGGAGAGGTCCATGACAACACATTTTCCCAATGCAATTCGTCTTTTGATTTCCTGACTGCTGGTCTGGTGTAAGAGTGTTGATTGTGGAGTCGAGCAAGCTGTAATTCTTAACAACGTCAATCTTTTCTCCATCTAATATGGCACTGCTAATTGGCCCAGTGGTGAGAATCTTTGTCTTCTTGATGTTGAGCTTCAATTCATATTGCAGACTACAGTCCTTGACCTTTTACAGCAAGTGCTTCAGGTCTTCCTTAGTTTCAGCAAGCAAGGTTGTGTCAGCTGCATATCACAGGTTGTTAATGAGTCTTCCTTCAATCCTGAGGCCACGCTCTTCCTCATAAAGCTCTGCTTCCCAAATGATCTGTTCTGCATACAGATTGAAAAGGTACGAGGACAGGATGCATCCCTGATGCTCTCCTTTCCTGATATTGAACCATGCAGTGTTCCCTCGCTCTGTTCTGAGGACTGCTTCCTGGACCAAGTATGAATTTCTCATAAGCACAATCAAGTGGTCTGAGATTCTCATTTTCCTCAAGGTTAGGCACAATTTGTTGTGATCCCACAGTGAAATGACTTTGCATAGTCAGTGAAACACAGATAGACATTCTTCCGGTACTCTCTACTTTCTGCCTATGTTTTGTTTTGTTGTTAAGTGCTGTGGAGTCGTAGATGACTCATAGTGACCCTATGAATGAAAGACCTGAACACTTGTACAACTTTCATTTTTCTCCAAGTTCATAGGGTTTCCAGAGGCAAGCTATTTTGGAAGTGGATGCCACTCCTGCTTCTAAGCCTATTTTAATTGGGGAGTTCCACAAAACAAGCATTAGAGGTCTAAATAGTTCACATCATTGATTCTATTTTATATAGGCTCATTTAAACATTTCACAGAAGATACTATACTCTGTGTTTTTACAAAATACAGTAAGATTAGTTATAATACAAACATATACGTGTGTGTATCTCTATGAAGACATATAGGTTTCCCAGATACTATTGTTGTTACATGCTGTGGAGCCCAAATCAACTCACAGTTCACCCTCCAGTAGGTTTTCAGAGGCTATGAATCAGACAAGAGTTGACTGCTCATCTTTTTCCAACTAGTGAATTTGAACTGCCTGCCTTGAAGGTGGAAGTGTGACTCCATATACTAACTAGGCTTCTAGAGCTCCCTCCTCAATATTAGTATTAGCTGGAAATAATAATAATAATAATAATAATAATAATAATAGAGTTAAGCCAGTCTAAATGTATCTTTTTACTAATTTTTTTCTTTCTTTTGTTGTGTTTTTACCTTAGCTGCTCAATTTTATCTGGAGTAATTGGTTTCCTCCCCAAAACTTGGTCTATCTCTCCATATAATTTTTTTCTGAATTTCCTCTGTGTTGGATAAAAAATAGATTGTCTAGGTGCATAGTAGGTGAAAAAATGATATCAATTATAAAGAAAATAGCTAATACTGGTTTCAAGATAGAGTAAGAAAAGTTTTTACTACTACTAGATTCAGGTATCTGTACTTTTAGTAAATAACACGCTATTCTGATGAACATGAAAATTGAAAAGCCAATGTTTTATGACTTGCCTTTGGTTAAACTGGTTTATAGTTTACTTCACCATTGTTTTGTTGTACATAGGGAACACAATAATAGGTGGAGATAAAACTGAAACTGTCAGCTTCATCTTACTTAGAGCCACAATGAACACCCTTGGTACCAGCAATCAGGAGATCAGGAGACATATTGCCCTGGGAAATTATGCAGTCAGGGATCTCTCCAAATTATTGAGGAGCAATGATGTCAGTTTGAGGAGTAAGGTGCATCTGATTCAGCCTATGGTCTTTTCAATCACTTGCTGAGAGCTGGACAATGACTAAGGATGACAGAAGAAGAATCGATACCTTTAATCTGTGGTGGTGGAGAAGCGTGCTGAATATCCCATGGACTGCCCAAAGAACAAACAGATATGTCTTGGAGAAAGTGCAGTCAGAGTGCTCCTCGGAGGCAATGATGATAAAGCTTCATCTCTCATACTTTGAGCATGCTGCTAGGAGATGCTATTCCTTGGAGAAAGATATCATGCTTGGAAAGGTGGAGGGATGGTGGAGGCGAGGAAGACCCTCAAACAGATGGATTGACATAATAACTACAGCAATGAGCTCAAGTATGTCAGAGATTGTGTGGATGGCACCGGATAGAACAAGTTTCTATGGGTTGTACTCGACAGCACCTAAGAACAACAATAGCAACCCTATGAACAACAGATCTGAACCTGGCCCTCTCTTGTGTCATCTTGACAATTTCTAATGTGTTCAAGCCGATTGCTATAGTAACTGTATCAATCCATCTTGTTTTTGCTGCAGATGACACAACCCTGCTTGCTGAAACTGAGGAGGACCTGATGCACTTGCTGCAGAGGGTCAAGGACTGCAGCCTTCAGTATGGACTGAGGCTCAATGTCAAGAAGACAAAGATTCTCACCACTGGACCAATTGGCAGCATCAGGATGGATGGTGAAGAGATTGAGATTGTTCACAGCTTTAATTTGCTTGGCTCCATGGTCAACACTCTTGGCACCAGCAGCCAGGAAATAAAAAAACGTATTGTGATGGGAAAGTCTGCTGTTAGGGACCTCTCCAGGGCACTGAAGAGCTATGGTATCACTCTGGAG